AGAGACGATTTGCGAAGGATGCTGCGACCTCGGCGGTTGGCGAGCCACAGCGCCAAATCCGCCATTTGATCCGAGATCCCGTTTTGCATTCCTACCTGCAAAAGACTCCCGCGCCGTTTTTCCCCACCTTTTTGCTTTCCGCTCTCTGAAGTCCCTCGATGTTCCCTCTTTTTCTATTGTTATATGATAACATGATCTCCCTGCGGGCATATGCAGGAGAAGAACATTACCCGGGATTTTCCTTCTTTATTATTCTCCTCCAGCGATGAAATCCTCGATGACCTCAAACGGTAGGTAAATCGTTGTCGGATTACGTCACGAGCTCAGATTTTCCCCCTTGATTTTCGCCACTAATTGGCAAGGAACCCTCGGTAACGCAATAATTGAACTCACGCGATAACAAGAGGATGCTCATGTCTGTAAATTCCAATTCCTTTCGACAACTATTAAACGAAAACTTAACATTCTGCCGAAAAGCTGGATTTTTAGGATAAAAAAGTAATCTTTTCAATAAAGTTCTCCGAATCGAAGCAGGACCAGAATATTTCCAGTCAATTACAGGGATTTCTGCATTTCGGTGTGCTTTCAATTAGCCACTTCAATTATAAATTCAAGAGATGGATCTACAACACATCAAATTTTACGAAGGGAAATGTAACATTCCAAGACACAGCAATAATTTCGAAATGCAAATAACCATCATAAGGAACAGGGCAACTTGCAATGATCACTGATAATGGAGATTCCACTGAGTATTTTAAAAATTGTCAACTCGAAAAAGTACTGTGCCCACTCAAAGAAGCGCCATCGATTATGAGAAGTACTGTATCTGAATTTGTGCTTAAAAAATTTATATTTCGCTGACACAGAAAAAGTACTTTCTTGAATTTCAAATACGTTTGACTAGTTTCTGATTCATTGCTGTCACAATGACAAACTCAGCCTTGCCAACCACTAACAAATTGAGAGTTCACAAGCATTAATTGGCAACTACAATAAATTGAACGGAATTCTAGTAGGGAAGCAATCAGAAACTTGACTTACGAAATCGAGATATAAGACTCACGAGAGCCAATTTTTCGAGAAGAAACAAAATTTACACTCGATTAAATACGACAGGTAGAATTCGTTCATAGTTTCTGAAATGCCGAAGGGAAACGATAGGCGTCATTCGAATGGAAAT